CAGATGGGATTTCCAATGACCTTCTAATTAATAATGCCCAATGGTGGGCTGACCCCCTAGCTAATCTGTTCACTCTAATTGACGAACATGGGATAATCCCAGAAGACTGGCTCACCTCTATTTTAGTTCCCATTTTTAAAAAAACGTATTCTCCACCTTATAAAGTCTTTATAATCTTTTTATTTCAGTCTCTATTGACATCAAAGCATGATCCATTATTTTAATGGAATTAATTTCATTATTAACTATCTTAGAAATTAAATATTGAGATGTGAATATAAAATTATTCCAGAGTAACTATTATGTACAGCTGAAAAGTATATCTTCTTTCATCACCTTTCAATTCTATCCAAATAGCCTTCAATTGGTTATTTCTTACCTTGTTGCTCAGTATTGTATTTCTTTAATAAATATCATTCCAACCATAAAAAGTTTTATCTTTTATCTTATCCATAACCATATTAAAATCTCCTGCCATAATATAACCTTTCTTTACTTTTTCCATTTCTTTAGAGACCGTATCATAAAATTCTTCCTGTTTATTATTAGGTGTATACACATTAACCAAAATATGTTCTTCCAACCCCATTTACCTTGTATTAGTATATATCTACCATTAAATTCTTTTACTACCTTTTCCACTTTAAATTCAGTTTTTAAACATTATAATTGCCACACCTCTAGATTTAGAAGTTTCAGAAAAAAATTATCTACTGTATGTCTATATTGTTCATTTTTAATCCATTGACTCCATTTTCTGATTGATGTGTGTGTCTCTTGCAGAAATACAATGTCCACCTTGTTTTTCTTCAGTAGTGCTTCTATTCTTTTCACTGTTGATCCTAGCTAGGCCTTTCATGTTTAAAGTTGCAAGTCTTATTCTTTTACCCCCATGTAAATTCAAACATTCTCCTTCCAATAGGCCCCGTGTGGAACCTCTCCTCCCACCAAACTAACAAAAATAAACTAAAACTTAAAATTAACATGACTACACCGAATAGTTGACTACTGCCAATCTTGTGAACATACAGTATAATTTTTCTCCCACTTACACCATAGTCCCACACCATAACCTACTGGCGTAGGCAAAAGATAGGGTGGTGATCTTTTAATTTGGCTTTTAAATTTCTACTTAATGTTTAATAAAATAAAATAAAAACCCTTCTCCACCGCTCTTTCCCTTTAATTATAAATCAATTTAAAAAAATAAGGTTTAAGGCTCAGATTTTAGTAATTTTACTTTTGTTAGTGCTTTTACTACCTAAAATTAGTATATTTAATATAATTATACCAGCAATATATATATAAAAACAAAAAAGAAAAAGAACAAAAAGAAAGAAGTCAGTTCTTCTTAAGGGAAAAAATAACATAATAAAAGAAATTTTAAAAAGGGGGAAAATGTTGATCCATCTTCTTCCAGAAATCTGGTTGTTTCTGGATCATCCTTCTATTTCTTTATTTGTAGTTGGGGTTAACTCCTGACTTTCCTCTTCTTCTTGCCAGAGTTTCCAAGCCTTCAGCAGTTCTTTATCTTCATTGCAAGAGTAGGTTTTGAATAGAACCTTGTCTTTTCAAATTTTCAAAAAAAATAATAATAGGATGACCCCATTGATATCTGAAGTTCTTTTTCATGAACGCTGCTGTGACAGGCTTCATAAGATTTTCTCCAATTCAAAGATTCATTGCATAAATCCTGGAAGATCTGTATCTTATTGTCCCGATAGACCAGCTGGTCTTGTTTTTGTTTAATTACTCTCATAAATTTTTCTTTCTTTGTATAGTTAAAAAACTTCACCACTGGTGTAATTCTGGGGCTTTTGGGGTTACCCAGGAAATGTGTTATTTACAGTACAGTGGTGCCTCGCGTAACGAGTGCACCGTTTAACGAAAAATCCGTAT